TTTACAGGCCAAATAGGCGAGTTAAATGGGGATGTGGTAGGAATTACCACCCTGCATCTTTCAAGTCTTTGATGGTGGCACTGATCTCTGCAATCTCTCCAGGAATGCGGTACTACTTTTGGTTTACTATTTTCCTAGGCAATGGCAATTCTAAAGGGGAAATGCATGTGGATTCAGCCTCTGGTGATGCTCCTCCGACCACGGACGGGGGATGTGAACAGCCTTGCTGTCATACAGAGTGCATTGAGAAGTGGACTGCTGCAAATGCAATTAAGTTAAAATGTAACCCCTCATGGTTTGATCTCCCTTTTGCCCCATGTTAAATTTGTTCTAGTTTTTAGTATTTTCCTCTTGCTTTTCAATTGAGTTTTCTTGCTGTTTTACTTCATTATTGCTCTTTGTTTTCATGTTTTTCTTTATATGAAATTCAGGATATGTAAATCTATAGAGACAATAACGGGATTGATCATTTCTTGGAGGTATGGTAGGAGAGGTTGGGGGAAATGGGGAGCTAATAACAATGAATAAAAGAAAGAAGACAATGTTCTAAAGCTGTAGTGATGATGTACAACTCTTTGTTTTCCTTAATAAATCATTCTACTGGGAGCTCTTGCAGCTCTTATAACAATCCATACATTCATTGTGCCAAGCACATTTGTACATATGTTGCCATCATCATTAAGGCCATCAAGATTATACAACTCTTAATATAACTGAACCATTGGATTGTATAATGTGTGAATTATATGCAAATAAAACTTTTAAATGTTTAGATCTTGATAGAGAACATATAAAAAATTATTTAACACTTCAATATCTTTAATAAGGGCTTGTAGGATTTTGTAGCCAAATACATTCTGACTTTAGTCATATAAAATATGTGCCTACACAGTTACATAAATCCTTATCAAACTCACCAACACTGAACTCATTGCCAATGAGGACATTCAGACTCATAGTGACCCTCTATAATAGGGCAGAACTGCCCGTGAGTTTCTGAGACTATAGTTTGTTAAGGGAATAGAAACCCTCCTTCCTCTCATGTAGTAAGTGCTGGTTTCAAGCTGCTAGCCCTACAGTTTAACAGCCCACCTTTTGACCCATTATGTCGCCAAGGCTCCTTATATATATACACGTATAAAGTATGCACGAACGCACATACATCAACCGTGGTGGCACTTTGAGTTAAGCACTTGGCTGTTGACCGCAAGGTTGGTGGTGTAAACCCACCAGATGTAGCTGTCCGCTCTCAAAGATTTATAGGCCAGAAGTCGTCAGGGACAGGACTGTTCTGCCCCTATAAGGTCACTCTAAGCAGGATTTGACTCAACAACAGTGAGTGGGTATACACGTCTATATACACACATTCTTTGTTTTGGTTGGTGTTGTTCTGAATTTTTATACGCCATAACAATTGCCAACCAATCTTTTACATTTCCCATCACCAAAAAGAACAAGGGTCTGCTATGTGAGATGGAGTCCTGGTGGTATGGTGGGTCATACATGGGTCTGCTCACTACAAGGCGAAGAGCTCAAAACAACCAGCTGTTCTGATGGAGATGGACGAGGCTTTCGAAATATTGACTTCTGTCGGTATTTACAGTCTCAGAAACCCACAAGTGAAGGTCTACTCTGTCCTACAGTTGTTATGAGTCAGAATTTACTCCAGAGAAGTAAGCTGCTTATAGAATGCAGTCTTTTGCCCCACTGTTCTGCACTGCTAATTTTTATTGCATAAGTTTCTTAAAATGTGTTTTTGTTTTGTTTTGTCATTATACTCTTATTTATAACATTCTTGAAAATTCTGAACAATGTTAATAAAACCCTATTTTATCTTATAAAGATTTTACTGGAGGTTCTTACAACTCTTGTTACAATCCATACATCAACTGTATCAGACATATTTCTACATATGTTGCCACTTTTCTAGACATTTAATTTCTATGAGCCCTTGGAATCAGCTCCTCCGTTTTCCCCCTGCTGCCTCCCCCCACACCCCCATGGCCCCTTGATAGATTATAGATCGCTATTATTTTCCTATCTCACCCCAACCGCTGTCTCCCTCTCTGGTTTCTGTTGTTCTTCCCCCCCGGAGGAGTGTATGTGGTTGTGTGCCATTCATTGCGATCAGTACCTCCTCTCCCCACCTTCCTCCTACTCTTTTGGTAGCGCTATTCCCATTCCTACTCCTGGGTTCTGTGTGTCATAAGCTTTATCTCTCGCCTACACCTGCGAACATGTTCTGGTCCAGTCCTTTGTGGGAATCAGTACTGGGGTCATGATAGTGGGAGGTGAGGAAGCCTCAAGGAAACAAGAGGTATATTGCATGATCCATCAGTGCTCTACTGCACCCTGATTGACTCATCCCTTACCCTCATCGAGAACCCTAGGTGGGGGATGGATAAAATCCTATTTTATATGGATAAAATATTATTCTACCCTGGAAAGACTATCAGATTTCCCCCCTAATACAAAGTTCATTAACTTCTAAGTTATGGCAACAGGAGGCCTGAAATATTACTGTAAATTCCTCAGTCACTTAAATCACAAAATTGTAAGGCTTATCAAGAGAAAAGAGAGAATTTATAAGCATAAATAGTGTATTTCAAAATATTTTTAAAAAAGTCAGTCCATTGAGTATGTTTTCATCATTAAGGTGAATCCACTGCCTCTCCAAAGTGAGGATATTAAACAGTATATTCAAGAAAAGAATGTACTTACCCGTTCTAACAGCATTATCCTCTGTTTTTCTTCAGACAGCAAATGGACATTTTCTCTTAAAATGAGAGAATGATTTTAATTTTAACCTTAATGTAATCTTGATGTAAAAATATTAGATAATTCTATATATCTTTTAATAAATTAAATCTTTAAGTCATCTGTATTTGTGAATTTTCTTTGATCAATGTAAAGCATGGAACTGGACACTCTTTCCCTATATGCACACACATCCATAATCAGAAGCCAAATATAAATGCCAACACACTGTGATAGGGGACACCTACTTTCTTCCTTAACCTATATTCACAAGATTAACCTACATCCTACTCAGTTTTTATACCAGTGGTTATATCTCCCTTTGTATTCCATGTATTTATTTTTAATCTATTTATGATCATATACTAAAGCTTTTGCTTTATCTTTGCTCCTCTTTCTAAAAAAATGCATGAGGCTATAGTTCTCTATGAATATTAACTTGATTATACACTTCAACTTTGGTTAGTTTTGTTTAATTCTGATTAATTCAATCTCTATTTTTATAGTATCTTTAATCCTAAAGGGTAAAAGTTATTCAAATTTCCAGATGTATGGATGCCTTTTGGAATTCTGACACTTCCTTTGTGATTTATCTCAAAGAACCCTCAGTAGTGCTTTATGGGAAGGGTGGCACTGTTAACCAAAAGGTTGCTGCTTCAAAGCCACCCATTTCTCCACAGGAGAAAGAAAAGGCTATCTGATCTTTATAGATTTATAGCCTCAGAAACCCTACATAAAGTCACTATTATTAGGAATCAACTTGATGGCAACAGGTTTGGGATTTGGCATTCTATTTGATAACATTATCAATAAACTGTGCTACTTTAATTCTCTATTCCTATATTTATTTTTAGTTCTTTGTTATTTCCTGTGGGAGATAAGTATTCTGACTATGAACCGGAGCCTTCATTCCATTCTTAACTCGTTTTTGATGTATGTAAACTTGTACAGGTCTGTTATTGGGGTCCCACTCATATAGGTGTGACTGACTGAATCTTGCACTCCTCGCTCGGTCCTTCTGGCTTGCTAGCCCCTCCCTTAGTCATGTCACTAGCATATAATGTAAGTAGCTATAGTCTGGAGCTTTTCAATCACTTAGGAAAGTCCAAGGTTTTAGAGGTTATCTTTAAGGACACAAGGACAAAGATCAAAAATTTCAATATGATTCAATTCTTTACCCCAAAGATGTCAAACTAAAATAACAAAAATTAGTTCAAAGGGATGTGAATGAGGTAACTGATGTGAGCTGTGGGGGTACTGTGGGCTAACCATTGAGTTGCTAGTTGCTATTAGCAAGGCTGGTAGTTCAAGCCCACTTGCTGCTCTATGGGTAAAACGAAGCTGTCTGCTTCCTTAAAGATTTATTTATAGTCTTGAAAATCCTAGGGTGGCTGTGAGGCAGAATGTACACTGGGTTTGGGATTTACTATAATAAACCTCTGATGGAAAGGAGGAGATAAAGCATGCTTGGCAGCTGAGCCACATGAATCCAGTGGCACCTAATGCAAAACTGTACAGAAGGTATAAAATAATAGAATTTGAATAATAGAATTGAAAAGATGTGCAAGACAAATAATGAGGAAAATGCAGTAATAAAAATGTCATCTTTAGTACAGTGTACTCCATGAGTTCTATGAAGTATTCGAGCAAATTATCACTCACAGAAGTAGTGGGGGCCAGGAGGTTAGAAATGAGAAATTGTGGGTAAAGTGATACAAGAGTACCCCACAAACCAGAATTTTTTCCTCAAAGCTATGCATTAAAATTTTTTTATAAAATAAACTTGTCACCTTTTAAGTGCTCTCCATTACACTTAATAATTTGTCAAATCTGAGATTCCATACTTGGAAACACCTCCCCCTTTCTTTTCTTCACCTCTTCTAAGTTGTCAAATCACTGTCCTTTCATGTCCCACTTCATTCATGGCCAACAAAAAGTCGTCGCATGGAACCAGGTCAGGTGAATCAGGTGATTGGGCAAAAGAGGCATGCGGTTCTTTGCCAAAGACTAACACACTGAGATGGCAGTGTGAGCAGGACGCTAAAATAAAGGGACTTTCACAAAAATTATCATTTAATTCCATTTTCCACAACCATTTTGAAGCCTCTTCATACAATTTCCTTTCAGAAAACTCCTCAGTCCTAACTTAGCCACCCCAAAGAACCTGCATCACAATCTAGATGCTTCTACCACTTATGATTATTGATTACTGCCGCAACGTATTATCCTATGTATTGGAAAGTGAACCTTAAACACTACTATCTATAAAAATGGTCCCTAATCACTACGGGACCCTTAGGCAGGAAAAACTTGAAACGTATATACTTCGAAAATATTCTTTAAGTGACTTATATGGAGACACAATAAATAATACAAAGCAATTTCTCACATTTATGGTTTAAAGCAATGTTTCCCAAAGTGGGCAATGCCACCCTCTGGAGGTCACTAGAATCATCCAGGGGGCTATAAAAATAGATACCTACATTTAATCCTGGATTATGGGATACAGTACAAGTTATCAACTGTCACGGGGCAGTGAGTAATTTTTTTTTTCTGCAAAGGGGGCAGTAAAAGTAGGCCAAGTAAGTTTTGGAGTCCATGGTTTAAAGAAGTGTAAAGGCACAACTTTTGGACATTTGGATAGTGTAAAATAAGTAATGTTACATTTCCTGTGTTCATAATTTAAAGCTCATAGAATTAAAACTAGTGATTTAAAAGCCTTAATATAAGGACTGAAATAACAAAAAGAAAATATAAAGACAAACACACTTACTGTACAGACATCATGCTTGTGTCCATTGCTGAATCCACTCTCCCATCCTCAGCTGTTTCCATCGTGGATCTCTCCATTTCACCAGGGAGTTCAGGGGCACAAGCCCCATAAAGTTCTGGGGCTGCAACTACGTAAGCTGAAGGAACAAAGCTGCTCCCACGCAACTTACTCACTTCTTCTTCAAGCTTTTTCTTTTCTTCAAGCAATCGAGCTCGATCTTCAGAGAGTGACTCTATTAAATCTGAGGGCCCCAATTTGAAATACGCATTATATAATGGAAAATCATTTTCTAATTTATAGCTTTAAAAAGTATTTTAAAAACATCTTAACCACCAAACAGTACCGACCTTTATCTCGCTCTTGTTGCTGTATTGTACTTTTCAACTTATCACTTAGGTCATTTATTATGTTTTCTTTTTTCATTTTCTCTCTTGTTAAAACAGTATTAAAATTTGTCTGGAACAACAAAACAGCAACTACTTAAATTACATGCATGCATTTAGCAACCTGTGCTAAGAAATAAACCTGCAAGTACTTTTGTGTGTTATCATGTACGCAAAAGATACACTATTGAGTTGAGAATTATGTTTATTTTCAAATAAAAACACTGTTATAATACAAAGCTGGGACAATAAGGTAAGCGTTATATTTTCTTGGTTCCATATTTAATCTGCTGAAGTACAATTCCATTTTTCCACTTATGTTCACATATTTATTGTCAGAGGGAAAGCAAGTGATTTGGAAATTTTGAGGCAAGAAATAAAACTAGCCAAAGATGTTATTAACTTTTTCTGAATCATTTTCAATTAAAGTTTTCATTATCTTCCCTTATTTGGACACTAGCAATGGCTATTGGAACTCTGATTGACATTGACTTGACTTGCTACTCCTGAACTTTTAAAAACTTCCTTAATGGGAATCTCTTGTATCCAACTACCTGAGAATTGCATTGTAGGAGGTTTCTTGAATCAATCTGTCAATTCCATTAAGAATATCAGATTGAAATGTAAGAGGATTAATCAGTGACGAATTTACCTACATTGACTCCTCCCTTCATCTGTCGAGTCTTTCCGATTAAAAACTTTTAAGACTCAGTTACAAATATTTATTCTCCAACAAAATAGTCCATAGTCCTTGGAGTAACAAATAATACTAATAATATTGGCAACAGAAGATTTAATAGAAAAATCATATACAACTTTTAGATAAAAATGTAGCAAATTCATTTTTAAATGTATAGCTAAAGACGATAGTCTCAAAATTCATTTTTAAATGTATAGCTAAAGACGATAGTCTCAAAATAATTATTTTTAATATAGCATTAAACTAATAATTTGCATGGAAAATAAATTTTGTAGTTATACATGTTAATTTTCATGTTTCTATAATATGAAATGGATTATGGGAAACACTACAATTAAAATTGGTATGTTAAAAAGTCTAGTTAAGATACAAACTAAACTCGGTAAGAGTTGTATAAGCCCCTAATAAAATGATTTAAAAAAAAGTAAACTCAAGTACTCACTTGTATATAGTTAGATAAAAATGATCATTTTAAGCTTAAATACTGCCATCAAACTTATTGTTATTATTACACTATTAAAATTGGAAAACACGTTAGAAATCACTGCTTTTAATGTTTTTAAAAAAATCATTTTATTGGGGGTTCTTACAGCTCTGATAACATTCTATACATCAAGCATTATTTGTGCATAGGTTGCCATCATCATTGCCAAAACATTTCCTACTTGAGCCCTTGGTATAAGCTCCTCGTATTTCCCCTCCCTTCACCCTCCCACCCTCATGAATCCTTTGATCAATTATATATTATTATTTCCTATCTTACACTGTCTATTGTCTCTTCATGCACATTTCTGTTACTTGTCCCCTTCGGAGGGGACTGGGCTGGGGATGGGACGGTGTGTGTGTGTGTGTGTGTGTGTGTGTGTGTGTGCTATCTATATCTAATCTTGTGATGGGTTCCCCCTTCCTGACCATCTCCCTTAATCTCATTTTTTTTATAGGTACTAAAAAGAAGTATAAGATATGAAGAACTAAATTAAGATAATCAGCTTTATCTCCCAGTAAATTAATATACAATCTAATTATGGCAATCTGAAAATGTGTACAAGGAGGGGAAAAGAGTAAGAAAGTATACAGAATGAAACAAGAGGGCCTATAATTTCAGATTAAAATCCTAAACAAGTCATTAATGAACCTTATGTATATAATTTTAAACTAGGTGCTTCATGCTCACGCTGAACACACTGCCTTAGTTTTCAAAAAATCATACACTTTCTTCTACTTTTCTGGCTCTTCGTTTTCATTCTCCTTCTCCAGGTGTTTTCTCCAGACCTTAAAATTTAACGCACCCATTGGTTTTGACTTATTTTATTACTGTACTCATTTTTACAATTTTTCAAATTCTAAAATAAAACCACACAATGTTAAATATGTGTAGTCGTTTTAACATGCACACCAGCTGTTACTGAATGTTATTGAATGTAGAAACATTCAATATTATCTGTGGTCTGAATTCTAGTCATCACCAAAAGGTGCCCACTGTCATCAGTGTGCAGTACCCTTGCCTAATCTGTCTCCCATACGACAGTGTGCCATCTTTAGTAAATCCAATGGTAGTGATTCCCTTAATCTCCTGTTCTGGAGCACATCTAAGAGAAATTCTCAGCAACACAGCATAAATCTGCCAATTTAAGATCACCTCCTTAAACCTCAAGTATGGGGACCATACCTGTTGTTCAGCAATCAAAGATGTTCGAACATTTTGCATTTCTTCATTCTTTTTTTTCTCTTGTTCTTCAAGTTGTTCTAGAAATTTAGCTTTTTCTTCCTCAAGTTTTTCTTGAAGTTCAGAAACTAAACTTGAAGACTCTTCTCTTGTAGAGTCAGTGGCAGGACTTAAAAATTAAATATAATATTAAAAGCTCATAAATTATATAACTAATCACAAATAGATACTATATTTAGGTTACATTAGAATTACTTAAATGAACTGATTGGTGTTAAAGATATTTCTGTGTGAATTCTCAAATTTTACCTACAAGGGAAAGAGAACAAATACAAATGTAATACATACTATATGCTCTGTAAATTTATCTAATATACATGATATACATTTTCAGGATAATTTGTTTCAAATAGCAAATACTGCTTTCAATATAAAAATCAGTAACCTTCCCTAGTCTTGCTTTCTATTTTAGTTTTGCTATTCTTATATGACTACTGAGAGAAAAATTAAACATCTTACTGAACATTAAGTAAATGGAAAGACTTTGATCTTTTGTTAGCTAATTAATGATAATACACAGGTAAAGTTCAATTTACTAGTCTATATTAAAACTAAATTATCTTAAGACTGGACAAGCCTGGAAGAGGTGAAGAGGACAAGGAAAGAGACAGATGCTACTAATTCTTCCAACTTTTCTTACTCTTTATCAATATGCTTTTAATCTTATTTTCACCTTCAATCGCCTCATATGTATGTGACAGTTGGACATCAAATAAGGAAGACTAAAGAAGAGACGATACATTTGAATGATGGTGCTAGCAAAGAATACTGAAGGTAGCTCCAACTGCCAAAATCCCAAATGGATGTAGTGGTGGCAAGGTGGAAAGAATTCATCTCACATACTTTGGACATGCTGTCGGGAGACCAGTTCCTGACCAAGGACATCATGTCTGGTGGAGGGGCAGTGAAAAAAACGGTCCTCAGCAAAATGGATTGACACAGTGGCTGCAACAACAGGCTCAAACAAAAGGAGTATGAGGATGGCACAGTCCCGGGCAATGTTTCGTTCTGTTGCACACAGTGTCACTGTGTGTCGGAACCAGCTCTATGGCACTTTCCAACAGTTTCAACTGAATGTCATTGAAAATGTAAAAGTATGCAAACAAGCCAGCAATGTAAATTAGTGTACAGCCCTAAGTATCTTGCTAAGCTGATGGCCTAAATGTATGTTTGATTATAATTCATATTTTAAGAATTAGGGTCCATTTGATAAACAATATGGATACTTAAAACACTTATTTTCTATAAAATAAGAATTATAATTTTTAAAAAATTAGTTCATGTCAATTTTGACTTAGGAAAGCCCTTAGAGTACATGAGTAGACACTCCATAGGCTTATCGTGATCTTTTGGAAGAATATCAGGCTTTTCTTCCAAAGTGATTCAAATGGGTCAGAACTGCTAACCCTTCAGTTAGTGGCACCACTCAAATATCATCAAACACTGAAAATGTACTTTGGTTTTCCTTTGATTCATGCAAGCCTGGCTGCAACATAACACCTGAAGTATAAATCTGAAATATCTTGCTTAGTTTCCAGAAAAGGTGGACTTGGGAATCTTGTATTCCCTAACAAAATAAACTGTACAAAAATAATTGTTTTAGAAATGTGCAAGACGGAAATTTTAGCTCTGCTGGAAAGCTGACAGGTTCAATAGATTAAAGTATTATTAAGGAACTAGAGGAAGGCATCCAATATATGATGTATACTGAACTATATAATAAGGTGCATCCCTAAGAGTAGAGAAGACTGCCCTCACAAAGGCTTTCAAAAATACAATCTTAAAGGGCCGTGTAGAGTACTCTGCAGGGCAGAGATAACAGGGAGATGAGCCCTCTGAAATTCATGAACACGTGGAAAGGTCAGGATTATAGTGGCAGAAGCCAATTACTGGCACTTGAATAAATAGGAGGTGATGTCGCTCCTTAAAAGGCAGTACAATAAGGATCAGGTTGGTTGCCTTCAGGGTTATAATTGACAACTAAAACGTCATTAAATTAGTACACGCTAGAAGTTCTATATCCAATTGTTAGAGATCTCTCTCTACTGTTCCACCAGATTTGGCATGCAGGTGGAAGCACCCAATTGGTTCTTCACCCTGTAGCTATTTCTTGAGATCCAGAATGTGTAATGGAATGGACATAAAAGCAACTGACACAATCCACATGTGGGTTCTGTCATGGCAGCCTGGGCTGGGTAAAACCTAGAACTGGAAAGACACAGGGACCAGAATAACTACAAGGTCTCTAGCTATCAACATCACCTGCGCTATTCAGAGCCACAAGAAGTAGTCCCTAATAGAATGTAAGAAAACTGTGAAGCAGAACCTCAAATTCCTGAGAATAAATAAAACAGAACGACTGGACTACTCGAGATGTGAGGATTCCCCTCAGACTACCTGAGATAGTCTTCAAACCTTGAAATCATTTTATAGCAAAATAACAAATTAGCTAAATTCATCTGTTAATTATGCTCCTTTACTGATAACCCAATATAATTTTAAAAGAAAGCCAAAGGGGAAGAAAGTTCTGTTGTGTCAACTTGAATATGTACTGTTTCGAAAACATGTCCTTATGTAGACTAGCAGTCAATTATCCTACATTCAGGTGGTTGCTCCACTAGTAGCTTTTTCAAATATCTACTCTTTGTTTGATCATCAATAAGGACTCCTGAACATAAAATAATTATTGTAGTAGATATTTTCCTTAGGTTACATGGTAGACTGCTAACTACGAGGTCGATGATTTAAGCCCAAAAGATGGGCTGTGGGAGAATAGTGAGGTTTTTCTCCTCTACGTAAAAGTTTACAGATGAGGGCAATGAATGTACAAATGTGCTTTACACAATTGATGTATGTATGGAGTGTGATAAGAGCTGTATGAGACCCTAATAGAACATTAAAAAAAAAAGTTTACAATTTCGGAAACCCACAGGAATAGTTCTGTCCTAAACAATCACTAAGTCGAACAGACTACATAGCGGTGAGCTTTGAATTTATTTCTATTAGTATTGACCAGGGATTAGCAAGCTTTCTTTTTAAATATTAAGGCAATGAAAATAAAATTTAGGTTTTGTAAGCTAAGTAGTCTCTGTTGCAATGAATGACTTAATTATACTATTAAGAGTCAAAGATTTTTTAAAAAGACATAACTATGCTCCAGTAGGGCTACAAAAAATTGTTGGTGGGCAAGATTCCTATAAGCCATAGCTTACCAACCCCTGGCACAAACCACATGAAGCCATTTACTTTTATATACAAGGGAAGCTACGTACTTTGTCATATTTCAGTCTCTCAGTTCTCAGAGAATCGCCATTCCTCTTGTTAGTCCTTAGGAATTGATGCTACCCTGTTTCCCTGAAAGTAAGACATCCCCCGAAAATAAGACCTACTTACAGTTTTACCTCTCACTGAAATATAAGGCATCCCCCCCCCACCGCCCAAGCAATGTCCCCCCCGGAAGCTACCATAACTCTGGACTCTGGACCGTAGCGACAGGTGCCACCACGCAGCTCACTGTTGGCTCCAGCGCAGCCAGAGCAGAAAGGAAGTGCGAAGTCTCTTTTAATAAAACAATGAACAATAAATGTGTACCGTATTCTTCTTCATGGAAGAATAAGACATCCCCTGAAAATAAGACCTAGCGCATCTTTGGGAGCAAAAATTAATAAAAGACACTGTTTTGTTTTCCGAGAAACAGGGTAACATCCTGCTTAATAATTGCAAAGTAATAATAAATACAAAGTAGCAATTATGAGTACAGCCTGCAAAATTCAGGAGTATGTTAGAAGTTAGGTCAGTGCCTAGGACATATGAAAGAGCTAATCTCCTTTAAGCTGCTCTGACTCTCTTGCTTAAAAGTTTGCCTGTTCTGTTGAGACTGCTCTGTCCATCCAGACTTATTTGGAAGCTACTGTCACTTGGGTCACACTTCCCAGCAGATGATGCTTGCAGTATCCATAGCAGAAATGGATGTAGTGTGGAGTCTTTTGCAGGCCCTACAGAATTACTATTGGACCCCAAGGAGTTCTTGATCCTTGGTCCAAGAAAACGATTTCCCTCCTGCAAAATAGGATTTGCTACTGGGTCCTGCAGTAATGCAAAACATAACCCTGCACCTACTAGTTGGCATGTAACCTGAGTTGTCTTCCATACAGTGGGTACTGTCTAACCTAGGGGTCCACAAACTTTTTAAACAGGGGGCCAGTTCACTGTCCCTCAGACCCATTGGAGGGCCGGACTATAGTTTAAAAAAAAAAAAACTATGAACAAATTCCTCACACTGCACATATCTTATTTTGAAGTAAAAAAACAAACAGAGCAAAAATATCCGGCGGCCGGAAAAATGTCCTCCATGGGCCACATGTGGCCCGCGGGCTGTGATTTGAGGACACCTGGTTCTAACCCATCAAGCCATGAAGCTGGCTGTGCACAATGGCGCTCATCATAAGGTGGAGTCTTTGTGTATCCCCAAGGCACTGGAAAAATCAAACAGGTTCAGATCTACAAATCTAATTCTTGCTACATTATCTCCTTGACATTCATTAGCAACTATAAAGTTCCTTAATAAGGGAAAGACGCTAGCTTTGGTTTACTGATTATACACAAAATGCTGGCACTATTCTAAAGCATAGGAGTCCTGGTGGTGTAGCATCACGCACTGGGCTGCTAACTGCAAAGTCAGCAGTTCAAAATCAGCAGCTGATCTGAGAGAGCAAGGGGGGACTTTCTACTTCTGTAAAGTCTCTAAAACTCACAGGGGCAGTTCTAACACGTTCTCCAGCGTCGCTGAGTTGGCATGGAGATGGCTTTTGAGTTCTATTCAAAAGCATACAATGGAAGATTTGGGGCCCAATTGAGGGGCTGGTCATGAAGAATAGTAGTGAAGAGGAATCTATTCAATGGTGACAAGTGCATTTAAAGGGGAAAATGGCATGTGCTTAGGATATATGATTCATAGAGACCATGTGAAGGCTTGACTTTGAAGGCATGAAATTAAAAACTATTTGTGGCAAGGACATCCAAATGAACCTCTTGAAATGGTTACAAAGTATAAATGTAGTCTATCAGTCAAAGGACCGAGGTGAATTGTTCTGTTTCGATCAATCAACCTCTTAACCTATCATAGAAGTTCCTACTTAATAGGCTTGTGAACAAAGTGTCCTTGAAGGCAGGAAGCGAGGGTATGTAGTTTCCACAAATCAAGCTGCTCTGAGTACCAGCACTGTTGATTACTCAGCTAATCATGAACCCAAATTATAGTGTTTTCTAGGGAGAATAACCAGTCATTTGGCAGTCATCTGGTTAAATCGGACCACTTTCATCATAAGAGACAGCAATTCAGAAGTTAATCTCCATATAGATTCACATTCCATGCTCTCAATTTTGCCAAAACTACCCTTCTTAAACTTACAAAAATGCCTTTAACAGAACTATATTATTCGTTCTGACGAAGGTAATTCATTTTACAGTGAAAGAAACGAAGTCTCTGGTTGGGTCTTACCAAATAAAGCAATGAGTGAATTAGATGGCCTGAAACAATTATGGACCAGTATATCTACTGAAGGTTCAGTTACAGTGACATATATGTGGCATCTCACATGGCTGGCAGGAAACGCTATCTGCTAGAGCAGCGGATCTCAACCTGTGGGTCATAACCCCTTTCAGGGTTGAATAACCCTTTTGCAGGGGTCACCCGTTTCATAACAGTAGCAAAATTAGTTATGAAATAGAAACTAAAAGCATTTTATGGTTGACGGGTCCTGGTATTAGGAAGGTTGAGAACCCACTGTGGTAGAGGTATATAAGGCTAGTTACCGAAATAAAAACTGGTGATTAAGCCCATGCATGTTAATTCTTTATCCCACCCCCCCATATGTATGTAACATTAGGTATGATTATAGTAGTTCATGCTGGATTTTAATATTAAGCCCATTGAATATCAGAGTGATTCTGATTAAACAGAAAGAGAAATAAGCATCAGAATTTTCACCGTAGGATGGCTAACAGCAAAAAAGTTTTGACTCATCTTTTGGAGGGCGATATGAGAGAACGAGTTGTATCACATAGTCAGAAACATATTTTAAATATCTTTATTTCGATGTTGAATAAAAAAGAATGCTAGTTTAAGGGGGGTAGGGGGAGATATACAGCATCAAATAGTTCTGCTGTTACCTTAACAATGCCCATGCCCCTCTTCTATGTTCACATTTCCCAGAATCCCCTTAGAGTTCCAGGGTTGGATCCACTAATAAAAAGGACATGCATCAGGTTTGGCGATGGAAAACAAGCCCAACCTTATTCTCCAGAAGGGGTTGTAGCCAAATGCAGTTTCCAAGTAGCTTCCTAGCCAGTACAAAGCACTACCCGTTTTGCTGCTGCAAACAGTATCAGATCATTGAAGCTTCTACGTTATTCTTGGGTACGGCAGCATCTTCCCAGTGAGCCTTTGAGAACCACCAGCTTTCGGGTGTGCTTGAACCTCAGTTTTCCTGATACTTCACATATGGTTTTCCTGGCAGTCCAGTGATTCCCTTGACCTTTGTTCTCCAGGTCTGCATCAGGCACACAAACCCTAATTCTTATATTAAATCCTTGAATCTGACCAGAAAGTTTTTCCCTGATAAGACAAGGAGGCCTAATTGTTTACTATCAGTTTATGGATATTATACAGCAGGGAGTCAATCACAAGAGACTGATTAAAATGCTAAAGTAAGAAACGAGGTTGGGTATGTTTTTGCCCATATTCTTTTGGAAAAATCAGTGATAGAACTAACTGATATACTGATTATATTCTAAAACTATTAGGCAACAAAAAGCTATCAATGCATTTTTAAAAATAGAAAAACTAAACACAATTTTCTTTGATCAAAATGCTAGAATGTTGAAAATAAAAATCTACCCAAATCTGGAATTATAAAATGCCATAATTTTAACCAGAGAAAATAAAAGAACTTGTAAAATGTGAAAACCCAATTTATGACAGTCTTTGGTAAGTAATTGCTCAGAGTAAAACTGGTCTTTAATGTAATAGGAATAATTTAAAGAAACATGTAAACGACTTTCATAATTTAAGAGAAAATTTGCAGATAAAAGAAACTAGAGCAGAAACTTACATACTAACAAATGAAATCTTCTAAAAAGTACTTCAAATTTTCTCTCAAAGTCTAAATAGCAGTACATTTTTTAAGATGGTGGGGAATTTATGTAGTCACTTTCTTTCAAATATTAGCAAAATAGGTTTGGCTTCATGAAAGTGTCCCCAAACTGCTACTCATTTCTTTAAGGTAACTGCGCAAATCCAAGTATAAAGATGACACTTTAAAAATTAAAATGCAAATTATCTAGTAATTCCAGGTTATAAAACTTATTTCTTACCTTTTTGCTAATTGAGTCTCAAGGTGTTGAACTTTTTCTAGTAATTCTTTCTCAACCGCATCTCTCCCCATTTTAAATTCGTTAAGAGCAGTTTGAATGGCCTCTTCTTTTTCATAATTAAGCTTATGAATTAACTGTTCTCTGTCTTGATCCCGATTCATGACCAATTTTTCTTTGTCTTTCTCAAGTTTATGGACAATAGCTTCATATTTTTCTTCTTGTTGGGTCATTTTTTCATCTTTTTGCTTTTCAAGAGTACGCAATTCTGATTCCAATTTATTTTGTAGTTCAACTATTTGATCTTTCAGATTTGTTTCTATTTCACATGCTTGGTGGTACAAAGATGTTAATTTGTTTAATTCAGCTTTAAGCATATTTGATTCCTCTTCATGTCTACCAATTAACTCTGAAATACACTGATCCTTTTCAATTGTCATTAAAGTTCTTAGCTCTGCTAAACCTACTTGATAATTATCATTATTTTCTTGAATCTTTTGGTTTAAGTTACTTATCTCTAGTCTCAAATTTTCTGTCTCTTGTTCAAGGAAAGATTTTAAGGTCTCCTTGTGCAGGGCTTTGCTTTCTTCCAGCATAAGTTTTATTTCATCAGTTTCAGCTTCCTTCAAAGCAAGTTCAACTTCCAGCTTGCATCTCATGTCAGACAAATCAGAAACCTTGAGCTTTAATTCCTGTAGCTGTTGTTCTTTCTCCTGGACAAGTGTTGTGTGCGACTCCTGTATCTGGTCAAGTCTTTGTTGATTTTCCTCTTTTAATTTTTCCAAAGACGCCTTGTGCTCTGTCTTAACTTTCTCAAACTCGTGTGTGTGTTTGACTTGCAGAGTGTCCTCTAATTCCTTCAGATGACTTTTCTCTAGACTTTGAAGTTCTGTTCTCAATAACTCTATCTTCTCATCATTTTCAACATGGAGCTTCTTTAAGTCTCCAAGCACTATTTCGCGAGACTCTTTCAGTTCATTAATTTCACGATTTTGTGTGTGCATTTTATTTTCCATATCTAACAACTTCTGGTCCTTTTCGTTCTGCAAGCAGATGACAGCTTCTTTTTCATGTTTAACCAATGCAAATTCATTATCTTTATTTTGCAATACCTCCTCAAGACATACTAGGTCTCCTTTCAATTTCTTAATTTTGTTCTCATTTTCTTCACTCTCCTTCATTAGCACATCAAGCTTAGCTTCATATTCGTTTTTTAAAGTATGAAGTTCTTTTTGATGTTTTTCTTGTAGTGTTATTTCGAGCGAACACTTTACTTTCCCAATAATGTTTCCTATTTCTTCTGCTGTGCATTTGAAAGAATTTGAGAAGTCACACCGTTCTTTTTGAACAAATGTTCTTAAGTGGCAAAGGTCTTCTTTGATAGTTTGTATGCTGTAGTGAGAGTCTTGGGCAACAACTCTACATTTTTCCAATTGGACACAGGAAACATGGTCTCCTGAATCCTCTTTAACACAAATATTTGTATCCTGCATACGCCTGCTATCTATTGCATTGATAACTGATGAATAAAGTGATTCCACCATCATTTCTGGGCTTTGTGGATCACTTATCGGATTAGGAGAGGATAAATTTTCTTCTATTACAAACTCATTCACAGCAGACATAAAATCAGATTCAGGACTTTCTGCTAATGAATCCAAGTCTAAAGACCCTTGGCCAAGAGTTTGTTCTACGTTTGGATGGGGGATGGTTTCAAAATCAAATGTATGGGCATCAATGCTATCAGGAGATAATTCTTCTAATGGACATACTGCAGGACATAAGGGATCCTGAACAGGTAGTGGAGGAGGTGTTCTTGGTGAGGTAGTAGTTGTAATTCCTGTTGCGCTTTCTATCCTTGGTGAAGAAGCAGACTGTGGGGATGCCTGACTTGTAGAGGTCTGGAAAACAAGAAAAGAAGGCTTAGAGAGCTACAGTAACACCTTTTAACACCCATGACAACCACCATTGGAAAGAAATGAATTTGCCTTTTGTTCACTAAGAAGGTCTGTAATGGTCTGTGACATTTCATCCAAACTTTGTGCTGCTTTTACCAAATTATGGAGAGCAAGAACATGCTGGTGTAGAGGTTCAAAGTCACAAAGTAGAGGTACCCTGAAACAATATGATTAAATTAGGTTGACTTATCAATAAAAATACAAGATAACCAAGTCACAGAAACCACAATTTACGTTAAGAATAATCAGAGCAATCACCAGCCCTTTAAAGATCAATACCAGAAATATGTTGAGAACCCTGAGATCTATGTGTGCGTGAAAGTGATAGTAAAAAGTTAAAGATAGCTCTTCTCAGGAGAAATATAAAAATATGAAGCTGTAGGGATGATAAGGTAACGGCTCCCAACTGAATTCTCAAGCGACAGCCCTTGCTTCGTTCAAAAAACGAACAAGGACAATGACCTGAGGGCAAAACGCCCTTGGTGCAACTTTCCTGGCCTTTTTCTCAATAATGCAGTTTGTCATTTGTGTAAATTTTTTTCACAAGAAGCCTCCAAGATTATAACTTGTCCTTCAAGATATTCTATCAAGATTATCCCTTGAAAATCTAAAAGTTCGTTGCCATAAACTTCTAATTTAACTTCTGCCTTTACATTTAATGCCCAAGAAGACACTGTTTTGATTGGACCCTTTTTTTCTCAAAGCACCAAAATGAGACTAAAGAAATCATGTCTGTAAGTACCCACTGCTTTCAGGGACATGTTTAAAGACATATTGTTTGGAATAAACCCATTCATGTATGAATCCTAGATTCATACTGGATCCTAGCAGCAATACTTTTTGACTCTTGATAACCTACAAAGTGCCCACAATATGCATGATATGCTAGGTAAAAAATGGCTACAAAAATAATGAAATATTTTAGGTGGCATGTTATTTTCTGCTTTGCCTTCTTTTCCATACAAAAGTCAATCTATGGTAAATATTTAGCTATCCAGGCAGAGCTCCAGAATGAAAACATTGAACTGTAATAACTTATACTATTGACATTTTACCTGAGGAATGGCTGAACTTCTGAAGGGCAAAATGATTGGAGAAACTGTAAATCTTTTAATGAAATATCTGGAAGTTCACAATCAAACTTTCGAGGCTTTTGAGTCTGTAGAAACAATTAAAAAAAAAAAAAAGGAAACAATTTAATACAAACAAATCTATAAACCTTTGCTGTGCTCCAGGTTCACTAGAATAATGAATTTGTATACATTAATAAATGTATCTCAAAAAATACTTCAAAAGTCCCAAAGATGAATAAGCACTCAGCAGCTTTAGCACATATGATACAGCATTTTTCTGAATTGATAACTGAAACAGTAGCTCTTGATAATCAATTGATTTTCTTTGTCCTCTCAGTTTCAGTAATTTTTCATGTGAACTCTAGCATTCTATCAACATTTAATGAAGTCACTTATTTCACCAGTTCATAGGCCTATTTTACTTTGACTTTAACCTGCAGGCCTTTCACTTAGCAGCAAAGTGCTTTCAACACTGTGTGAACAGAATTCCTCTTATTGCTTTAACGAGGTTGAGGTTTATGTTAATCCTACTTTCTTTTTTTTTTTCCCCTTTACCATCTGGTATTTTTCAACATATAAACTCTCACTTCATTTCAATATTTAAAAAATTATTAACTGGTAAGTCCTACCATCCACCCCACCCCTCCCAATACTATCAAAAATTGCACACTTTAAAACAACCTGAACTATTTTAGTCACTACTGACACAGACTTAGAGATATTAAAATGCTTTTTCATTAAACAAAATTTTTTTCAGTTCTTGGGCAATATGTGTGTTAAAAGACATCCAGTTTAATCAAAGTTAAGAGAGAAATACATACACAAAAGGAAGGAGGCCAGGAGTCCAGTCCCCGAAAGAGACGATTTCTTAAGAAAGACTTCCCTGTGTAAAAAATTGTTTGAAATAGTTATATCAAAAACTTTAAAAACAATGTATCTATCGTTTCAAAAAGTGTTAAAATTTGATGGAATTATATATTTAAAATATTCTAATAGCTTTAATACAAATTATCTAGATTGAAATGCAGCTATCTATAAACCTCCTTTGGAAAGTCACCAAGTTATCTTAATTTACTAACTCTTTGAAATACTGTCTGTATTCTTCATTAATTAACTGACAAATGGAAAGTCCTACATAAACTGCTGCTATAGTAACTTTCGTATATAAATTCAAATTTTACCATTTATATTTGTTGGTTAGATACTTTACATATAAAAATACAAAGAAAAATTAGAACTTTCTCTACTGAATGACTGGCTTTGGAAATAATACATTCACATTTATGAAATAAACTTTTTCTTTAAAACAGTTACTAATGAGGAACACTTACTGAATAATTTCCCAAAGGATTCTCTTTTTGATTTTTCAGCTTCATATAATTGTTTTCCATCTTTGACTAAAGCACCAGCCCACTAGAAGAGAATAGCTTATGTTAACAATAACTTAAGATATATACACCAATTGTTTGTTTAATATACAATTAAAACTGAATTTGGCCTCCTTACCTCCCTGTAGTGTTTTATGAACATTTTTCTTCTGACAACCTCCACAACAGCTAAGCAGTACATCTGAGGAACTGTACTAAGAGCTTCAACAATCTTGACTCTTTCTATCAACTCTATTACAAGGCGAAGCAAAGCTTGTAACTTCTCCCCATCTTGATCAGCATGAAGCATTACAAAGCAACACCACCTATAAATGAGATGTATTATTTCCAATATCGTCAAGTTTGTTTTAAAAAAGGTTCCCTTGTGATAAGAGTTGTATGAGCCCCTAATAATAAAATGATTTTAAAAAAAGAGAGATTTGTATACAAGAAAAAAATAAAAAATAAAGGATCCTTACTGTGTACGCTAAAGAATAGAAATTGTAGGTGCAGGCACAAAAATAGGTAGTTAAAGACATATAAACTCTATTTTCATCACATTTCAAAATAGTGGTAAAGAGAAATTTCCCAAATAACCAGTAACTTTGGAGAGAGAAATATCAACTTTAAGCATCCTAAATCAGTTATAGCAGAATCACTTACTTCAATCTAACATGTAGGTTATTTGCAAGTTCTTGTTTGGCAGTGGTACACTTTTGTTTAATATCCAATAGTTTTTTATGGTTTTGCAACATAATCATCAACTGATTTGCATGACTCAGGCATAAATCAGGCAACACAGATGCATCCTTCAAGTTTTCAGCTCTCATCTGATTCGCTAAAAATCCCTTTGAAAGAAAATATTTGGAAGGACATTAATATTGTTCACGAAAGGCACAAACACGAACTATTCTGTGTTCTTTGAATTACAGCTATTTCAATTTTGAGAATGTAAGAAACGTTTCTCAGCACAAGACCAGAATATCCAAGGAAGAAAGTGCCAAGTCAAAAAAAAGTTTGCGTGTGTGAATTACACAAAACTTATAGAGTAAATCGTTTTCCATTGAGCAATTCATCCCTATAATTCAGACATTATATCCTGTCATTGATAATATCTCCTGTGCTGCTTTTATCCTTTATCTCCTGTTTGTACTCTTCTATACAGAACCTTCTAATGTGATCACTTTTAGAGCAGTTGGTAGTGGTAGTGGATAGCATCTACTACTTCTGGTCTTGGGGTTGTGGAGACTGGTGGAGACTGATGAGTTTATATACTCTTCTTTTGTGTACAGAGAAACCCAAGATCTGCAAAGGGTGTAGAATATTGTCTTTGCCAGATTGTTATACAATTGACTTTGGTGTCCCTTAAGACTATGGTCTTGAAACCTCATGTCCCATGGTTACTGATTTTTAGACCACGAAAAAAACCACGACTGATATAATCAAACAAACAAAACTTTAAAATTTATTGTTAATGAATGTTCCATTCCTTCAGACTTCTTCCAGATCCCAGGACTAGAACATTTCAAAATAATATAACTTAATTCCCTCAATATTATCAATCAAAAAGCACCTATATGATTTTTTTGACTATGTGAACTCCATACTACTACTGCAAATACCTAACTATCTTTCTTGGAATTTAAATATATTATATAAATAATTAGCAAAGGCTCAAAAACTGCATCTTCATAATTTTGTTTTCTCTTTTTTTGGGTTCACATCTTATTAAATATCACCAAATCAGGATATTTGTGTGCATTATAACAAATTTAGTGTCAGAAACAAGACGATTTTAGCAGTATCTTTTTATATTGTTTCATTGGATGTGTTCATTTAGACTGTATTGACTACATGTACAGTTTTTCACTTTTGTGGAAAATTTTAATCGATTTTTAGAGACTTAAAAATTAATCCAAATATAAAATCAACACTTAAATCTAAACCATTAGTGATCGACTGTCAAAATAAATGAAAACGTAATTCAGTAAAATAAATTCTACATTTGGCAACATGTTCTTATAGACTACGGCAATAATATGGTAAAAGTTATTTTGTACTGATGTTTTTTATGTGTAAAGAAGGCTAGGTATCTACACGACCTATAACTTAAAACGGAGCAAGAGCAGACTTAAGGGAAGAATGAAAGTAGAACTTAGTGCTAACTATACCATCTATTTCTTATTTCTAAGAACTATGCTATAATTACTGTTGTTGTTGGGAGCCATAGATACATCACTGTCCAGTCCACCGCCATCCTCACAATTGGCCTTAGGTTTAAGCCCATTGCTGTAGCCACTATGGCAATGCACCTTGCTGAGGACCTTCCTGTTCTTCACCGACCCTTTACTATATCAAGTATAATATCCTTTTCTAAGGACAAATGTCACCTGAAAACATGTCTAAAGTATGTGAGACCAAGTTTTGCCATCCTTGCCTCTAAGGAGCATTCTAGCTGTACTTCTGAGACAGACCTGTTTGTTCTTTTGGCAGTCCAAGGTACTTTCAAAATTCTTTGACAGCACCGTAATTCAAAGTCTGCTTTAGTCTTCCTTATTCAATGTCCAACCTACATATACAGATGAGGCAAATGAAAATATCATGGCTTGAATAAGGTGCACCTTAGTCTTCCAAATAACATCCTTGCTTTTCAACACTTTCAGGAGGTCCTGTGCTGCAGTTTTGTCCAATGCTACAGTACTTTATAACAATCGATCGTGACAACATTCTGAAGAAATATAATTACTTGCTAGCAGATCCAGTGTTGGATTGCCAAATAAATTGGCTAAGTATGGAGTTACATGGGCTTACTCACTAATCTGCAGTTAACAGTTTCACATGGTTTTCACCACATAAGAGAATATCCAATAAGCAAACTAAGTACATCTTTGATCCGTAAGTAAACCTGCACTTAAGTTGCTTAGTGGATACTGCGAACCCATCGGGAATTGTAGATCAGAAAAGAGGCTTTGATTCTGTGTAAAAGGTGCTGAAGGTTGGGAAGACATGCCAGTCATACTAAGAAGGTGAACTGTTCATGTGTTCATCAAAATTCTTTCCTGATATTCTTTTTCTTTTCTCTTTTTTTTTTACTCCTTTGTGTTTTTATTAACGGACCTTCTTTTCTCTTTATTTGGAAGTATTAGAAGATTTGCTATATAGTTTAAATGTAATAGAACAAGTAGAATACCAATGCTAACTTAATCATTTTCACCAAACCATATTCTGAAGGAAGTGCTAATAAGGAAAGAAAACTGCAGGAGAGAAAATACTAGTAGCAGCAATGAAAGCACCAGAGGAGGCATCTGCAAGTATTAAAGTTCACAACATAGAAAAGACAAGCTAGAGGACAAATGCATAAAAATATGAGTTTAACTACAATTGTAATGAAGGAGAAGTACAATATGGTAAAGGAATATAATCATGTTTAACAATGATAGATGAGATAGAGCATCTCAGAAGAAATGGTTTCCATTTGAAAGCTGCCCTGGCACATCTCTTGGCAAACACCACATAAAATTATAGAACCGAAGAGTTGTTTCACTTGGCTGTACACCATTTAACTTTCTCTAACGAACTCAATGAGAATGAGTTTACTAAAAGTCTATTTCTCTTATGTACCAAGGTAAAAATCCATGTACTGCAAGTCTGGGTTTCTGTGTCTTTATCATTTTGGTCTGATTATGTAAGCCAACTTAATGACTTTTAAATTGCTAACCATGAGAAAAATTCACTGAATAACTTAAATAATGAAATGCTTCTCACTGTATGAAATGATTATACTACTTCAGATATATCAAAATCAAAGAAAGAAAAAAATTGTTGTTTTTAGTTTGAATATTATCTCAAGCCATGGTGAGGTGTTCTAAAAGCTAAATTCTAAGGAACCATCATAAAAGAGGGTGAGAAGGGTTGCACAGCTTGAAGAATGTAATCTCTTCCACTAACTTGCACCTGTAGAAACTGTTGAATTTGTGTATGCTGTGCTTCTCAACATCAATAAATAAAATGCATTTTTTAAAAAAATCATCATTTTAAAACATAAAATGAATGAGGGAGAAAGAAGTTTAAACAAAGCCACCCAAAATCAGTTTTTCCATGGGCACAGATATAAGTTCCCAAGCTTATCTGGACTACTGGCCCCTTGACAGAAGAAAAAAACAAAAAACAACCACTCAGTGCCCCCTGTCAATTATAAACATAAATATTATAAGCCAATAATCCAGGATCAAGGATAATGTATAGGTAGCTCCTTTAGGAGCCCCCCTGGGTTGTTCCAGCATCCCTTGTAAGGGTGGTATTGCTTAATTTGGGAAAGATGGTATAAGAGATGTCCACTAAATATTAATTTCAGGTTAGGTTCACGAAAGGATGAAGGGTCAGAAAAGAAAATTCAAATCTAAAAGAAATCCATTTCTTAATAACCCATTCCTCACATAAGAGTAAGGCGGAGGTAATACTATCACCCTCCATTGATTATAGCACCTACACATCCCAAAAGAATGTCTTCTTTTATGACAAAGTTCCATTTGTTGATCTGAGGATAGATAGCATCAGAAATAGATTTGTGTACATGACCATAAATGACAGAACCATTCAGTTTACATGTGTGATTAATAAAGAGGTTTGATGCTATAAAAAGAGGTAGAAATGTTAACAATAAAAGGAAGCTTCTAAAAGTTCATGTAAATATGAAATCAAAAGATAATGGGATTTTTCCAAGAACTTTTTAAAGCTCCTATTAAAAAACAACAAGGGATTAGTGAAAACAGAGGGAGGCCGGGATACGGAGGGGCTAAGGAAAGAGGGAGGGAGGAAGGAGGGAGGGCCACTGGGGAGAAAAGTAGGGACAATATGATAGAGAATATATATATAGTACGATTAAGAGATAATGTGGAGATTATCAACAAATGTATGAAAACACAAAAGATGAGATTAAATATACACAAATATACCACTGATAAACTTGACTACATAAAAAATCAAATTCCGTACTAACTCTATATAACACTATCAACACTATTAAAATGGAGAAGTAAAACATATTACTTATAAGGTTTATCCAGATTAGAAAAATTGGCAAATAATAATTCATAAAGAAAAT